GTCTAGGCAAACTAGTTCCTTAAGAAATTTGAATTCGAAGTGTTAACACCCCAAAATCACCAAATGGCATCGGTTTAGCATGAAACTTGGCACGCACGATCGTCTAGGCACGAGAGACTTGTAGGAGAAGACGGGGCTCGAATCAGGTTCCCAGTTTGGGAGTTAGAGCTGAATTTCGGTCTAGGTAAACTAGTTCCTTAAGAAATTTGAATTCGAGGTGTTAACGCCCCAAAATCACCAAACGGCGTCGGTTTAGCACGAAACTTGGCACACACGACCGCATAGGCACGAGAGACTTGTGGGAGAAGACGGGGCTCGAATCGGGTTCCCGGTTTGGGAGTTAGCGTCAGATTTCGGTCTAGGCAAACTTTTTTTTTGGGTGAATGGTCTAGGCAAACTAGTTCCTTAAGAAACTTGAATTCGAGGTTTTAACATCCCAAAATCACCAAACGGCGTCAGTTTAGCACGAAACTTGGCACGCACGACCGCCTAGGCACGAGAGACTTGTGAGAGAAGACGGGGCTCGAATCGGGTTCCCGATTTGGGAGTTAGCGTCGGATTTTTATTTTGTCATTAATTTTTAATGTTTTTCTGTAATTAAAATATTAACATCATTATATTCTCATTAATTATTTTTATTTTTTTATTTTCAGATATTTTCTGAGTAGCAGTTTGCTTCTTGTAGAGTGCGGGCGTGTAAAGATTTTGACCAACTTTTGTTTTTGTAATCCACGGAAGAAGCAAGACGAAAACTTTTGGTTTTGATATACGTTATTTAGATTTGTGAACAATATTATGTATGTATTATGCGACATTACGTAGTGGGATAATTTTTATTGTTTTGAATTTTTGTTTATGTATTGTTATGAATGGAATAATATTATGAATTTTTATTATGTACCAACTTTTGTTTATGTATGTATTTATATTATTCTGTAATTATCGATTTTTTTTAGTTATTTTTCATTTAATACAGGTTATTTTTAGATTTTTAATAATTTTAATACAGCTTTTTTTTGAGACGGCAGAACACACCGTCTCAAAAAAAAGGAACCAGGGCTTTTGCGACGGCCCTTTATTGTCGCAAAAGATGGCGATTTGGCTGAAAGGTAACGCATTAGCGACGGCTTTGTTCCCGTCGCAAATAGTATTTTTAGCGACGGCTAAGGTGCTGTCTCAAAAAACCTTTAGCGACGGTGTCTTTTGCTGTCGCAAAAGGCCTTTTTCGCGACGGCAACATAGTGCCGTCTCAAAAAATTCAGTTTTTTGCCCGTTATTTGCGACATATTATTCCCGTCGCAAAAAGGGCATTTTGCCGTCGCAAAGTAAAGGCGACGGCGTTATGCCGTCGCTAAAGCCCTTTTACAACCCCTTTTGTTGCGACCCCCCCTTTGTGTAGACACCCCATTTTTGACCGACCTTAAGACTTAGACGTCACCTTGAGACGGCATTTGGGGTATTTGCGACGGCGTTTTGCCGTCGCAAAAAATCTATTTTTTTGTAGTGCCCACTGACATCTTAAACATGGATAAAAAGTACACTGCACTCTTGAGAGTACAGACTTAATCAAAGTTAGCCTACATGCAAATAATAAACATTTTCTCTTCCATAGGGCTAATTTCTTTTTAAACTTATCAACAACTGGCTGCCAAATTCTTCTACTCCTTGGATTTGAACCTAGAGGCATACTTAGATAATTCAAGGGTGTTTTCTGAGTTAAACAATTCAACCTTTTGGCAAACGCTTTAACCAAATCATCCCTTACACCAAATCACCCCTTACACCAATCCCACAAACTTTACTTTTATGAAAATTGATCTTTAACCTAGACATTAGTTCAAAACATCTCAAAATTCTCTTTATTGCAATGATTTCCTCCAAATTTGCTTCACAAAAAATAATAGTGTCATCAACAAACTAAAGGTGAGACAACTTTAGTTCACTATGACCTACAACAGCTCCTTTGATTAGCCCCAAATCTTTTGCTTTTTTCATTAGAATATTCAACGCCTCTGCCACCAAGTTGAAAAGGAAAGAGTAGCGACCCTAATGTTCTTAAGTCATTTATTATTATTATTATTATTATTATTATTATTATTATTATTATTATCTACTATTATCTTATTTTATTTTTTTTGGACTTATTTAATTGCGTGGTTACATGAGAATTTTAATGTGGTATTTAATTAATTTTAATGTGTTATTTATATATATATAATTAATATGATTATATACTATATATTATATTAAAAAGAAGTTTATTTTTATATTTTATATAATTTTATATTTATGATTTATTTGTATACATATAATATAAGTCAAATTAGGTTAAATCATAGGAGGTTGCATAGAAGGAAAAGTAAAAGAAAGCAAAACGAAAAGAGAGAACAACCGCAAGCCCCGAGAGAGAGGGAGAGAGAGAGAGAGAGAATTTGGGATCAAAAATTGAGAGTGTGCACATCCAAGAGAGAGAGAAGAGGATGCGGAAAAGGAGAGGAAAAAAGAAAAAAAAAAGGGTTTGGGTTTTGGTTTTGGTGGCTATATTAATTCTTCAAGTGATTCTTTGATCTTCAAAAAAATATTGTGAGTAGAACCCACTTTCCTTGCTTATGTTTTAACTCATTGTTTTTTATTTGTTTACTCCTATTTATTTGATGAGGTTTGATATTATACTTGACGTAGATGGTGGATTGATATCAATTATTTCGGTTAGAGGTGTATGCAATGTTTTAGGGTTTATATTATATATTTATTATATGGATGTAATCACACTCATGGATATATGAAAATTAAAATAAATTTAGAACCCATAGATAAATTCCTTCACTCCACCATGACTCCATGGAGAGTTGTTTTATTTTAGTGTTGGTGAGAAAGAGTATATAAATAAAAAATTGAGGATTATGAGAATTTATTTGAATGCCTTAGGCTTGGCATTGTTATGTTTGTTCTCATGAGTAGATGAGAGATTGTGTATATATATATTATTGCCTCGTTCTCAAGAGTAGACGAGTGCTTTGATTTACGCGTATACAGTATATATTAACCATCCGAGAAGTGTGGGTCAAACTCGAGACGATATCCCCATGCAAGCTTGGCCTTTGGAGCGGTGTTAGGTATAACAAGAGGCACATGAGATATATGTGTAGGCCCAGAAGTGAAGGGTCGAAGTGGTGGAGTTAAGGTACAAAGAATTAAATATGAACTTGTTGGTATTGTTTTGCATTGTTTCAATTTGTTACATCTTGAATGATAGTAAACCGACGCTTGATAAATTATGAAATTTTGGGCAGAGGCATGTATATGTAATTCTAGGACAACTTTTGTATTTTAACTTTGTACTAAAAAAGATCTATTAGAACTTGCAATCGGATGATCTAAGTTATAATAGTTTTTTATTCATTTTAGCAATGCAGATTTTAGATACAGTTTTAACCCTCGAAACGAGCTCATTTTTATTGATTTCGTGTAAACTGAAGTAAAACATTATCCCTAAACACCTTTTTGTGTTTTGAACGTTTCCAAAAAAAATCATCTTTAGGGCAGTTTCTTTTCGTTTTCAGTTTCAAATTTTTCAAATGAATTTCGTCTGGGTTCTTCTATTAAGTTTTTCTCTCAAACTGTTCAGTTTATACTAAATTAGTTTCACATTGCCTTTTGGAAATTTGATTTTGTACAACTTTTGTTCTTTGAGTTTTGGTCAATTCGAATTATTTAAATAATAAAACAGTGCGTTTATACTTCTTTCAGCAATTTACTTATGTTAAATTATACTAATCTTTTATAA